GCATAAATTCTGCAATTAAAAGATTATACTATTTACCATGGTTATTATGGAAACTAAATGAATTGCACACATAAAGCACCCTGTGCAGAGCCTAGTAATTGAAGTTGTCTCTCCCTCCACCTCTTACCCCTACTCCCAACCAAATAAAGGCATTTATTATTACCACTAATCTAGCCTGGAAACATAAGAAATAAAAAATTTTTGTGAGTGTTTTTTTCACCAACATTTCCCTAAGATTGTCTGTGTTCACTTTATACTTTCTCATCTCACAATCTTTCTTGGTGGAAAACATTGATGTTTCTACCTCTGTGTCTGTTCTTTCTTCTCCCACTGAAGAACATGATGGGTGTGGGATTAAGGACACCTCTACATTCAGGGATCTAAGCCAGTCATGGTCTCCTGCTCTCCTTTCCACTGTGACGGACTCAGTGTGGTCCATGAACAAAGAGAACTCAATCGGAGGATGTTAGAGAAAACCTATTTGGTAGATAGAAATAACATATTGAAGAAATGTAATGACTGCAATTACTGAGACATCACAAGGAAATCCACCTTAAAGGAAGTTGTCATTCTAAGTGCAGAGCCAAAAGAACAGCAGAAGAAATATTAAAACGCAACTGAAAACTGCTCTGAGACTTTTCTTGCTAGTTGGTAAACCAATGAATTTCCTTTATTAAGTCAATCTACCAAAATCATCCTAAGGAATACTTTGGTCGTATCTCTGACACCATCTCTCCATCCGTCTTGCCATTGTTGGGACCATCCATATCACTGAGTCAATGAGTTGCTTTTCCAGCTCTTTTTTTTTAAGATTTTACTGGGGAATTGAGGAAGGAGAACAGTCAAGTTGTTGTTCTTCAATCTTAGTTGTGGAGGGCGCAGCTAGTTCAGCTCCAAGTCCAATCACCATCCGGCCACCCATTGGCTGCTTGGTGCAGCTTAACTCAAGGTACTGTGTTCAATCTTAGTTGTGAGTGGGCGTAGCCCACCATCACATGCCGGAGTCAATCAGGAAACCTTGTTGTTAGGAGCACACGCTCTCACCAGCTGAGCCATCCTGCCACCTGTTGGCAGTTCAGCGGCAGCTCAGCTTGGGTGCAGCTCACTGGCCCAGGTGGGAATCGAACCCGAGACTCTGTTGCTCAGAGCTCGCGCTCTTAGCCAACTGAGCCACTCAGCTGGCCCTTCCAGCTCTTTATTTAAGCTCTAGAATTTTTCAGCACGTACACTCACAACTGTGAAACGATATATGTAAAAGGATATTAATTACATTATTGATTTTAAAAGCAAAATATTATAAACAAACCCAAATGTGCATGTAAAGGGTTTGTTAGATAAATTATAGATGCATATACTAAACTACTGTGTAGCTATTTAATAGAATAAGGCAACTTCTGTTACTGATATAGAATAGTCTCTAGGATATATTAAGTGAGAAAAAATGAGGGTAGAATGGAATATAAAGTATGTACCTTTGCGGAAAAAGAGGCTTCACAGACATACTTATAAACACATAGAATAGATGGAAAGATATGAAGTCTGACAATTAAGTTTCTGAATTCATCCTAGAAAAAGTGCTAAATATCACTACGGTCACCTTTGAAGTACTCTCCTTGGGAAGCTATGCACCCACGCCAGCGCCTAGTCTACCCTTCAAAGCAATTTTGGAACTCTTTTTCTGGAATGGCCATCAGAGCTGTCATTGTATTACCCTTGATATCCTGAATGTCATAAAAATTTCTTCCTGTCAATATTTCTTTTATTTTGGGGTACAGAAAGAAGTCATTGGGGGTGAGATCAGGTGAGTAGGGAGGGTGTTTCAATACAATTACTTGTTTGCTGGCTAAAAACTCCCTCACAGACAGTGCCGTGTGAGCTGGTGCATTGTTGTGATATAGGAGCCATGAATTGTTGGTGAAAATTCAGGTCATCTAACTTTTTCACACAGCCTTTTCAGCACTTCCAAATAGTAAACTTGGTTAACTCTTTGTCCAATTGATAAAAATTTCTAACGAATAATTCCTCTGATGTCAAAAAAGTTTGGCACCATTATTGCAATAAGTTCACGAACTTAATTGTCAGACATCATATACATGAAATTAGTAGAAATTAGTAGCATTGCTTACCTCTGAAAAAGAGAATTGGGTAGCTGAGATGAGATAGGAGGGAGAAAAATTTTTCACTAAATAGATAGTGTTTCCTTCTTTTAGAGTTTGGATCATTTTCATGTACTTCCAATTAAAAAATATAGTGTAAATACTTAAATAAAGAAATTGGGCTGACCAAGTGGCTCAGTTGGTTAAGAGTTGGCTTAAGAGCATGAGCTCTGAGCAACAGGGCCGCTGGTTTGATTCCCACATGGGCCAGTGGCACTGCACCAGAGCTGAGCTGTCGCTGAGCTGCCAACAGGTGGCAGGATGGCTCAGCTGGTGTAACAAGATTGCCTGTTCGATGGTGGGCTACACCCACCTGCAACTAAGACTAAACTTGGTACCTTGAGCCGAGCTGCCTCCCAGATGGCTCAGTGGACAGAGTGTGCACTCTATAACAAGGCTGCTGGTTCGACTACCACATGGGATGGTGGCTATGCCCACCCACAACTAAGATTGAATACAGCACCTTGAGCTTAGGGACCACAAGGTGCAGACAGGAAGCCAGATGGTGACTGGCATCCTCCACAACGAAGATTGAAGAACAACAACTTGGCTGGTCCCCTTCCCCAATATTCCAACACTGTTCTTCTTCCCCAATTCCCCAATAAAATCTTTAAAGAAATATTTTTTTGCAAGAAAAAGCCCTTTGTGGTTATGATCATTACTGTCTACTAAATATTTCTGATTCTTTTCTCATACATATGGCAGGATATTATTTACTTGTCTTTGGTGTTAGATGAGGTAAATTTTCTTTGACCAGTGAAATGTAGACAGAATGATGTTTGTGATATTCACAGAGAGTAGTCAGTGTGAAATTTATCAAGAACTGTTTCCCTCTGCCTCACTAAAGAACAGAGCTCAAAGTGGTAGCAGTCACTCCATATAGCCTCATCGATCCTCATGATTCCCCCAATCTCCCACAGTTTTATTTACTCTGTTTTGGGCTCCAAACTCCTTTATCTAATAGCCTCTTGATGCTTTTACTTGGTTATCTCACAGGAATTTCTAAATTTAAAAAATGAGATGATTCCTCCTCACTCTTAAACATCTCCTACAAAATTGCTTCTCTTTCAGTCTCCCCTCAACTATGTTATAGCCTCTGCTATCTAAGAAGGTGCTCATGCCAGAAATCCAGGAGTTATCCTTAATACCTTTCTTTCCCTCTGAACTCTAGTCCATAATTAAATCTGAATGATGTTAAAACATATCTCAAGTTGAGTCATATCTCTCCGTCTTCCCCTGAGACCCCCTATTTTTGCCACCCTCCACTGTCATCTGTAATGGTGTTTTAAATTAACCTGTCTTCCAACTTTCAACATCACTTCCCATTCTCTCCAGCTAATCATTCAAAATATATAATGGCTTGTGTTGCTTCTCTGCTTAAAGACTCCTTCAACAAATCCATAATACATTTAAGATGAAACACAGCTCTTTAACACATCTGAAAGACCCTGAATGATTTGATTTTTCCTACCTGTCTAATATTATTTTATTCCACATCCACCCTCCAAGGCTCTAATCAGGCATCCATCTTCTTTCAGCACCTTGAACGTGTTGAGATTTTTTCACAACCTTGATTGTGTTGAAATTATTTTGCATTTTCTCTACCTAGATTGTTGTATCTCCTCCTAGCTATCCACCCGGCTAGTTGGGTTTAGATGCATTATTATTATTATTATTATTATTATTATTATTATTATTATTCCAGAAATACCTTTTCTTTTCTAACAATCAAACTTTAGCAGGTAGTTCTCCTGCCCCACAACATTATTCTCCCTTGCCACTCTGTCATTTCTTTAATTTCATCTTTATAACAAGTAATTATATATTAATTTGTGATCTTTTTGTTTGATCTCTTATTCCCACTAGACAAAAATTAGTGAAGTATTAAATGTGTTTTCCTCATTTCCCTATGCCTTGCATCCAAGACAATGCCTGTCATTTAAATGAATCAATAAAAGAATGAACCAGTTTCTATATGGAATAAAGCATAACTTAGTGGTGATAAACACATAGTGGTGTATTGCATGTTTATATGTTATACAATTAGTATGTGCACACAAACTCTTATCACTCAGGCACTGCCAAGTACTAAATGGTAACAAGAGAATATTTTAATGACACAGTGTGGAGGATATGACAAATGTAGTCTCCAGGGCAGTCAGGGAGCACCGCTGAAGAAACATTTGGGTTAAAAAAGAAAATGACTAGATTTCCAGCCAGTTTTGTTTCCCCACCTGCAAATGATGACATGGTCTAGATGATTTGCTAGTTTCCTAAGCTCCAATATTCTAGAATTCTATTTCCCAATTTTGTCCAGACCATTCCTACAGAACAACAATTGACTAAGTTTTTTCTTCCTTAGATGTGTAAGAACACTTACAATACTGGGGAGGTAAAAAATAAAAATCCTGTTGGTGGTGGTGAGAAGGGGTGAGGGCACGAGGCAGCTATATGCCCCATCCATGGAGTATGTGTTCCTACTACTAGCAGAATATCTGCTAAATGCTCAGTCCAGTGTGGTCATTGTATTGAAAATAAATTTTATTCTAGAAAGTAAGGAACAGGTTCAAAATAAAAATCTTTATTAAACAGTAAATGAAACACCCATAGAGATACAGTCTCTGCCTATTGTGCACAGGTGTTTCCCACTTCTATTCAATGTAACCCAATAGCAAGTGAAGCAGTCCTGATAAACGCTGCATGACACATGAAGATGTCTGCAAGGGTCATCCACTGTAGCCACTGTGCATGCTGGAAAATTAATCATTTTGACTCATAATAAACTATGTGAATAATAATTATATTCATTTAAAAGGAACCTGTCTTCTCCATATCTCACCTAACATAACCAGGTGTTACTCCTCAATATATGTGTCACCACCCAATCATTAGGGTCAAACCCAAACTTTGATGATCCGCTGAAGAAATAGAAAAATCCTGTAAATATAGATGAGGAAGATAATGAGGCATTCTTCAAATAAATCAATTTTACAACATGCAAAAAAAAGTGAGCTAATAATGAATGGCATTTATATTAAGTGGTTACTCTGTGCCAGGCACTGTTCTGAGTGCTTTACATGCTTTATCTCACTTACACTTACAAAAAATGTGTGAGGTGTTACTGATGAGAAAACACTTGAAAATTAGGGAGATGTTCCTACATCCCTACATTCCCAGGGTAATGTCTCTAATGAAAGATGGAGGAAGTCACTCCATCTCATCTGTCTGACCCCAAAGCCAGTGCTCTAACACATTATATTATAAAGCATTAAATTATAATTCAAAGTGATAAAATTCTATGATGTTTTAAAGCCTTAATTTATTTTCCTCTTTCTTCCCAATCTAGTCTTCCCCCACCAAGTCCTAAATACCGCTTAGACCCAGGAAATTGGTCCCAAGAAAATTAGGCCAATGATAAAATACACTGGAGGTTCACTTCCTGTTTTGCATACATTAAGGTCTAGTTATCTTAGTAACAAGATCATCAACCTGATGAGCATTATGATGGTCAAGCTCTGTCAGCTCCCTCCAAAATTCCTTCAGAACAAGAACAAATTTCACTTTCTTATCTCCCCACAACATTATTTTCGCTTGCTACCTTGTCATTCCTTTAATAACAAGTATATAACAAATTATAATAAATAATTACTAATTTGTGATCTTTTTTATTTTGATTTCTTACTCCCACTTGACAAAGCTAAATGAGAAATCAAATTTTATCTATTTTGAGCATATGGGAGGGCTACTATTTATTTATTTACATAAATTATGTAATGCAGATAATTGCAGACTACAACAGAAGGCCAGGCAAGTCTTCTTGGGATGGGGTAGGAGTGAATGGAAAATAAGATGATATAGAGAAAAGTGACAACCAGCCATTAGTAAACCTGGCTCACACTTGGTTGTATTTTTATGCCAACATAGTGACCTGAAAGATAATGGGTATGGTGTGAGGAAGTATCATCTGACTTTTTGTGCAAGTATGAAATAGAGACTTGGAAATTATTCAAGAAAAACAAAATTTAAACCTATTTGGATAAATTAGAAAGTTAAATTTTTCAGCTATTTCGAGTAGAAAGGACATAAGACTGAATGATTTGAAAATTGTTTTGATTCTCCACATCATTTTCATAGAAAATGCCCCATAGTTTCCACATTGGCAATGAAATAAGTGTCTTCTTACCAAATGCGTGTAATACAGCATCAACCTTCGGCTTAACTCCTGGAAAGTCATCACTTATCAGTCTGGGGAAGCCTTGATCCATGGACTCGCTATTTTCATCAAATCTATACCAAATAAAGAAATATAACTCAACATTGTGCAGAGACCCCATTCCATGCAACAGCATGATGTAATGTTAATGTTCCAGTGTGGAATCCTGGATAATTCTCAAGCAGTGTAAGGAAGTGTTAAACATTTTTATGATTACAGAAATATGTGACTTTCCCGGATTTTAAAGCTCAGCATGTAAAACAGTATTTTCTCCAGAAACAAAGATATCCCACTATTTTACAGAGGTTCCATGTAGATGTCTGAGATCAATTTTCTAAGCCTAGACATTCGTACAGCCCAAATGCCTTTCTGCCACAAACGCATGAAGACTGTATACACTTAAGATGCAAAGTGAATTAAATCATTTGGCTAAAAATAAATTTTTGGTTCTCTCTCACACTTGCCCTGTAGACCTTCTCTTTACAGCCTGATACATCTGGGCTTCATATGGTGGCCATTGTCTGGACCTCAGTTGGTCTCTCGTGATGTCTTTTGGTGTCTAGATATATGACCCAGTAATCAGGCACTCTAAGAGCCTTTTATTATATCTGGGAGGTTGAATAACTGTAAGTTTTCTCCTTCATAATCAGAAAGTTTGAAGTTAGAGGAAGTTAGAGGGTGGGGGTGCAGGATATCCCAAAGAAAGAAATAATTTCCCTAATTTAGGCTCTATACAAAATCATTCACATTGCACCTTACCTCCAGTATTTGTCCTCTACAAAGAAGTATGTTTTCTTTTCCTCATCAGAAACAGCTGCATCAATTTTCCTTATGGTTGGAGGAAAACCCAGGGTGTGGATGTCTCTTGGATAACCTGCTTGCATCTCAGTTCCTCTGATGGCCCAGAATTTATTTCCTATTGAAAAA